GCCTTCCTATAGGAGAGTTCTGAACTGCATACATCCTATTTATTGTATTACTTTGATAAAACTTTTGAAGTACTATGTAAATATATGGTATTAAGTGATTATTTTCAGAGTTAGTCTCCAAACAATGTAGCCCAGATAGCCTCAAGCCTACTCTTTCTATAGCTAAGAACTACAGCTGAATTCAAATAAAGAAGAAAAAAGACAAGAGAGATGCTGTAGCTACAAACTCCTTGAGTACAATATGTCTCTATGATTGGATAAATAAAGAAAAACCTGAATTTCTCCTCACTGGTCTAATCTTCTAAAAAGTCATTTTAAAAATTGCCTTATTCATTGTCATTACAATTCCAGCAACATTTTCAATATCCTATTTTGCCATCATTAATACAACATACCTCCTACTTGAAACTACTCTTTCAACTTCTATTGTTTAATTGATGGTATAATTGAGTCTGGCAAGAATATTTGAAATGTCCCACTCTGGTTTTCTCTAACTTTACTTCAATAACTTCCAAAAGCACATGACTAGAAATTGATCCTTCTCATAAACTATCTTCTTTTCCATATATGACCCTAGACTTAATTCATGTGCTAACGCTGGGAGATCAGAAGTAACACAAAGCCCATCATAATGCTTCAAATAAAATACTACTACTGCCCAGAAAAAAATCTTTATTATTCTGAAGTAAATGTTTTGGTTCTAAAGTCATCCTGCTCCAGATAATACAAAAGCAATATCTATTTAACTATCTACCTATATCTATCAACCTATAGATTGATAGAGATATACCTATATCTATATTATATCTCTCTCACACACACACCTGTCTCTAAAAAGTAACATGTAGCAATTTTCAAAGTAATTTTAAGAGACTTCAATCACAAGTTTTAAGGAAAGCTAAAACATCAGCACTAATAAGCAAAATCAATCAATCCCTAGTCAAATTAAACAGGGTTCAATTAACAAGCACCTGGCTAGGGTCAAACTGATAAGCCACTGCAAAAGAAAGGTACTACCACACTAAGCTATAAAAAGATATATGACATCTAAATTTTAGTTACTGAACTGTCCTATAGCAGACTCTCTCCTCTCCATCCACAGTTAAGTCTAAACTTCTATTTCAGTGTCTCCCTGAAGTATTTCGAAGTTACTCATTTCAAAGACACATCAGCATATATTTCAGTCAACTCCTCTTGGCTACTAGAAAACACTGCTGTTTTCAATTAGCATTGTCAGAAAGTGAAGCACCCTCTGGTCTTTTCACTGAAAATCAATTACGGAAAGAAAAAAAAAACAGTTTAGGTGGTCTAATTTAGCCGTGCCATATGTATAGTACAAGGTGTTCAACAGCTTTGATGAAAAATTGGCAAGGATTTTAGCCAGCTGTCTGAGGTCTTGGTGTTACACATGGAAAATGAATATTCATTCATTAAATTTTCTTCACTTTGTATACATAACATTTTTTCCTTCTAGAATTATGAACTTCCCTCCTGTCCTTTCCAGTTGGACAAGGTTAAAATCCCTTTACACAAGTCTCAGTATTCTGCTGATTACCACTCCACTAAAATAACGGCCCCGTTTTATGACTACATAGCATGTATTAGGCGGCATGTTTTTATTTTGGCATTTTCTGAATATAGACTTACCTTCCTGGTAGAGGTGTGCAAGAACTGACTTTCCCCAGTGCTACACTATCTTGAGAGCGCTCTGCTTTCCCACCTGTTTTCTCCAAGTTTGTTTTGCTTTCAAACAGTAGAAATGGGGAGTTTTTCTAACTCTGACCATAATGCACAAATACATTTACTATTTCAACCCAGGTCGCACACATGTAAAACTAAAATAAGTTTACCCAAGACAAGTCCGTATTGTAAGATATAATGCACTCTGATTGTATATTCTACTGCACTTCATTTAAAAAAAAAAATGCTGCCAAAACCAGTTTGACTCAGTGGATAGAGCGTCGGCCTGTGGACTGAGGGGTCCCAGGTTCGATTCCGGTCAAGGGCATGTACCTGGGTTGTAGGCACATCCCCAGTGGGAGATGTGCAGGAGGCAGCTGATTGGTGTTTCTCTCTCATCGATGTTTCTAACTCTCTATCCCTCTCCCTTCCTCTCTGTAAAAAATCAATAAAATATATTTAAAAACATAAAAAATAAAAAATAAATAAATAAAAATGCTGACAATCCACTAAGCTGACTTTATAGCCCACTAATGGTCACATCAAAGCTGAGGTAAATTCTCAGTGGTTTAAACACTTCTGAATTTGTGAAGACAATCTGGATTGTGGTCTTAATTCTTTCAGTACATAGCTGGAGGAGCTTACATAAGTCATTTCATTTAAGAACTTCAGTTCCTTAACAGTGAAATAAGGGAGCTGACACTATGGTATGGGACTATACTAACTGGACTTAAGAATTAAGGTTCTGGAGCTACAGTCAACTTTAATTTTCTGAGACATTTCATTCTAGCAGCACTGTGCTAAGATAACTAGGTGATATTATGGCAAAATTAAATACTTAAATTCAACTGAGATAAATATTTGAAGAAATAAGACAACTGCTTTGTTTCAAATCTTTTCATCAAAATGAAAAGCAAAACACATCGTTCTTCTTACATTAAAATTTTGTGTTGTTTCGTGATAGATAGAAATACATATAAGTTAAATAATCATTTGGAAAAAAGACCTAAGTCGAGACCACAAAACAGGGACATACAGTTTGCAGTGATGACAGAACTTTAGAGAGCTTTGCAAGCATTAACAAATTGGTTAAACCCTGGCGATTATTTATTCATCAAAAGGCCCAAATATTGCAATACCAAAATATCTCAATGCATAAATGCTATGATAGAAAGTTTCCTGTAAGTCAGGTGACCTTTAAAAATGTTAACATCCATCCCACTAAGATTAATGATCCCCTCCCTGTTTTTCCACCTGGGATTCTATTCCTAGGTTTTTTTTGAAGATAGAGTACTCTACAAATACTATGGCATTTGTCTGTAAAAACATTTGTACTGTCAAGGCAAGATTTACCTATTCACCTATGTACTTGAGGAGTAAATTAGTAGAACCTGCTACAATTTAAATTTGCTTCAAACCATCTAAAGTGCTGCTAGGCTAATCCAACTAAGTAGGTGATTTTTTTTAAAGTTATTTCAATGCTATTTTGCTTAAAAATAAACTACAAAAGGAAAGTCTAGATATCAAATACTAGCAATAGTTGGATGATAACTAATTATGGTAGAAATCCATTCAAAAAAGAAAATATTAAAAGCATATTAGTTATGTACACACTATCACCAATCTACTTATAAAATAGTAATAGCATAATAATTTTTAAATGCTAATATTTTAAGGCACATAATTAATCCCCATAAAAAAATACAAACAAGTTCCCTTCCATGACTTAGGTACATATCTTCAGAAAAGGTCAAATGGGGACTAAATCAACCCAAAATAATATGAGAGTGGCATAAGGTCTTATAGTTAGTGATAACCTAAGAACCACCAACAGAGCATTTTCCAGGACCATATTCAGGCTGAAACTGAGCTTACAATACACTTGGGTTCCACAAAAATAAAGGTGCACCTTCTAAAAAGAATGGCTTAAAGTTCCAGAAAGTAGCAAGTTGTCTTGATTTTTCATCTTGGAGCTACCACCAAAGAGTAAAGCACTGACAAGGAGGATGAATGCCTTACAAATGAATATGCTCCATGCATTTTGGTTCTCGGAGGCAAACCAATTAGTGAACGCACTTTACAGAGTTCTCACGTCAGTGTAAGGGAAAAGGAACAGCACGGTCCCCAAAAGGAAACCAGTAAGGTTCTCCATTTCCAAGTGCCTCCTGCGCAATCATGCAATAGGAAAACAAAGAAAGCCAGGAAAGCCCGGCTTGCAAAAGTAGGAAGGGCCTTAGATTTTAAAAATCAAGATAAAAGAGGGATTGCAGCTCTTCTTCAGGCCACTGCTGTGTGGAGGAGAGCGCTGTTCATGTACCCTGGCATGAACCTAAGTCCCACCCTAGACTAAGCTTCTACTCACCTGACCATACCCCACCACCTCTAGTGACTGAAGAAAGCATATTAGCATTACTCCGTGAGCAAGTTGCATGAAAAATAAACAATAAAAGAATTAGGACCCCTCCGAAGTGGCTCATTGATGGAAAGCAGAAAAAGCTAACCAGATTTCAACTGAAAAATAAATTCTGCCAGCCTCACATTTTTTGATAACTGAAAGTTTCTGGAAAAAAAATAATAAGTTCCTCTAATCTCACTTTTCTCCAACAGTTTAATTTTAAAAATTAAAAAAAGTCCCTTGGTTGCTAGGCAATAGAGTGTCTTCAAACTGCCACTCCATTCCCTAAAAAGCCCCCATTTTTTACAACATGATTGATAGGATAGGAAAGCCACCTTTTAAAAAAACAAAGTCAGTCTCTGAAATGAGGAGCTACCAAAGAAAACGCAGGGAATGGACGTGGGGCTGCACAACTGAGTGCAGGAGCACTCTGTGAGGATAGCTCCAACGCTAAGCAGCCTGGTACGCCACGGGAGGAGGGACCACACGCGAGCCCCATCCAGCCTCCGTGTGGGAAGAAAGAACAGAAACAGTCACAGGCTGAGGCCAACCCCTCCCCATCCCCCGTCACTACCGAAAAAAGACTGGGAAAAGGAGCAAGCCCGAGTAACAAAAGGAGAAAATTGCATGGGTTTTTCAATGAACGCGAACGAGGAGCTTGGGACCCAAAAATCAGCAGAGACCAGAATGCAAGGAGATGGAGGGACCAGTTCATCCCCTTCTGCGTGGCGGGAGCTCGTGGAAGGAAGCAGGTTTCCACCCTCAAGTTAAGCCTCCTTTCAGCGCCCAACTTGGCACCTGCCAGGCCACCACGTCCGGGGGCCCTGGCGAGCCCGCCCGCCCTACTCTGGCAGCCCACGCCCTCCCCGCCTTCCGGGGCCTCGGAGGCCAGGGTCCTGGGGCAGGGAGCGGAGCTCGGCAATACCAGGTGTAGTCGTCCTCGGTCC